ATGAAAAATATTTTGTTAGTAAATGTTTAGTGTCTGAGATAAGCATAATTGTGTCACCATTTTTCAGAGGAGGACACTGCAGCCCAGAGACATTAGACAGCTTGTTGAAGATTGCACAATCGTCAGTGACTGGGCTGGGGTTTCCACAGAGCACTCTGGCCTTGCAAGTTGATTTCTGTTCACTAGATCATTTGGAATGCAGCTTTCTCTGGAGGAAACAGTAGACCAGCCTGTTGTGGTAGCAGTTATGCCTCCCAAAATGTCCAAGTCCTACACACTGAAACCTGTGAATATGTTACCTTCCATGGCAAAGAAACTTAGCAGGTGTGATTAAGGTTCAAGACCTTGAGATGGGAGGTTATCCTGGTAGGGTTGATTTAGTCACCTAAGCAGGGGAGTGCTCCAAAGAGATGGAGCATGAGAAGGACGTGGCCACTCTGAGGATGAAGGAAGGTTCTGATCGGCAGCCTCTAGTCGCTGGGAAAGGCCCTCAGTTTGTAGCCAGCAAGAAAACGGGGACCTGGGTCCTCTGTCTCAAGAAACTGAATTCTGCCACAAACCTGAATGGTCAAGAGAAGAATTCTCCCCAGAGCTTTCGGAAGGAACGCAGCCCATGCACCTTTTGATTTTAGTCCACTAACAGCCATCCTAGATTTCTGAACTCCAGACACTATCAGAGAGTCATTTGTGTTGTTTTAAGCCACTGAGTTTGTGGTCATTTCTTAGGGGAGCAATGGAGAACTAACACAGCCAGTTTTCCAGAAGGGCCTCCTGAGAAGCAGGAGTTTCACCTTCCATCGCATTGTGAGGAGGAGGACTAAGCCCCAGCGGGAAGAAAGCTGGCCAGACATTACTGGAGGAAGAAAGAGGAAGGGGCCCTGTTAACCCTGGGCCTCCTGGCTACTCTGTAGCCACCGCAGAGGGAGTGTGGTGATTGAGAAATGACAGCTTCAACAAGAGGGCAATGAGGCCGTGAGAAACCTGTGCAAGACACAAGGGGACCGCAGACCACAGATCTGCAGACCGAGGCTTCAGTCCCGGCGTCACCACTAAACAGTTACGGGGCCTCGGTAAGAAAATGGCCTCTTTGAGCCCAAGTTTCCTCCAGGGTTGAAAGGAGTAATACCTATTCACACGGTGGATGCAACGGCAAGGGTGAAAAACATTTGAAAATTACCAACTTTGAGTTTATGTGAGAGATTATTTTTATTGTCAATGTAATGACAACTTCTCTTTGCCTGGTATTTTTTGTTTTGTGATCCTTTTCCTAACAACTTACATCACGAACACTTTTAAGGGGTCCTCAGTCCCCGGTGCATAGGTAGACTCCACAGAGCCGGGGATTCGGGGCCTGGGAGTTGTGGGTTTGAGCTCTGGCTCTCCTGTATCTCGGGCCTGTCCCTTTCTCTGTCTGAGCCTTCAGCTATCACCTGGAAAGTAAGTGAATGGTAACATTCACTTCTCCGGCAGCCCTTGATTGTTGGTAATCACAGCTGCCAAAGATCTACCACATTGCCTGGCACAGCACAGGTGCCCTGGAATTGGGGGCTATGAGCAGATATTGGGTGGAGCTGGCTGCAAAACGGGTCACCTTGGCCACCACGGAATCTGAGGCTCTTTCCTGAGCTTCTCACAGTTACTTCTGACATTGCACAAGGGACTTAGCTCTTTGGGTCCCAGGAGCCTACAAATCTCAATGACACTCACTACTTCCTGCTCCCCTCTCAATCAATAGGAAAGTTTCTTCCTTCTATAAGAAGGCCCTGGATACTTGAGAAAATTGTAAAGAGATGCCGCACTTGGTGACTGTTGTTCTCCTCTTCCTAGTCATGCTGTATGTCCTACATGGCTGCATACTCCTTCTATGATGACTTCCAGTGCAGTGGCCCAATACTGACAAATAACCTAATCATAATAATAGCAGGCATTTGTAAAAACACTTCTTTTGGCTGGGCGCAGTGGTTCACGCCTATAATCCCAGCACTTTGGGAGGCCAAGGCGGGTGGATCAAGAGGTCAAGAGATTGAGACCATCCTGGCCAACATGGTGAAACCCCGTCTCTACTAAAAACACAAAAATTAGCTAGGCATGGTGGAGCATGCCTGTAATCCTAACTACTTGGGAGGCTGAGGCAGGAGAATAGTTTGAACCCAGGAGGCAGAGGTTGTAGTGAGCCAAGATTGTGTCACTGTACTCCAGCCTGGGTGACAGAGGAAGACTCTGTCTCAAAAAAGAAAAAAGAAAGAAAGAAAAGGAAAAAAAAAACACTTCTTTTAGATAGGCCTTCAACGTGCAATAGCTTATGCTATCGATATTTTATGAAGAGGAAGCAGATGTATGGAAAAGTCAAAGGATGCGTACAAAGTTACAGAAGCTGTAAGTTTCAGAGCTGAATCTCATCTGAGTGATGAGTTTATGTTTGTTTTTCTATACCCTGCTGCCAGTCACATGTATGCCTGGTGACCAATCATCTTCTGGCCAGAGTAGGAATACTGGCTCTCAAATCCTGAGGCCTCAGAGTTAGGGAAGGACCCCTGAACCTCAGCTGTCACCACAGTCCCCAGCTTGAGAAGAATGGGGGCAACAAGAAGGTGCCTTCTTCACTTGAAGTGTTCCCCTTCAAAGCCCTAAGCTAGAGGGTCCCTTTTCCCAGTCTCTTGGATAATCGCAAGGAATCTCTCTGAGTCTTAGCCAGAGTTAGACTGTCTATCCACAAATCATTGCACTTCATAGAATTGCACCTCCACACAAATTGCTTTTATCTGGGAGCCACTGCAGTCTAGTCATTTCCCAGAACATCTGTCTGCTGGCTACCTCTGCCCATTATACCAGCAGGGATGAGAACTGCTGGGTCAGAGATGCTTCCAGGAACATAAAGACAGTTGATTGCATCAAGAGGTGAACCAATGAAGTGAGAAAGAACTGGACCACATTTTATTTCCCTTTTAAATAGCTACTCCAACACCATCTTATTTTGATCTTCACAGCAGCACTATGAGGTAGGGAGTTTATATGGCTTGGCTCTGTGTCCCCACTCAAATCTCATCTCAAAATGTAATCCACAGAGTTACAATTACAGGGAGGGAGTCAGTGGGAGGTGATTGGGTCATGAGAACAGTTTTCTCCATGATGTTCCAGTGATACTGAGTGAGTTCTCATGAGATCTGATGGTTTTAGAAGTGGTGATTTCCCTGCTCTCTTCTTTCTCCTGCTGCTTTGTGAAGAAGGTGCTTGCTTCCCCTTCACCTTCTGCCATGATCGTAAGTTTCCTGAGGCCTCCCCAGCCGTGTGTTATTATAAGTCAATTAAACCTCTTTCCTTTATAAATTACCCAGTCTCGGGTATGTCTTTATAGCAGTGTGAAAACAAACTGATACAGGAGTTACATACCCATTTCACAGATGAGAAAGTAGGAAATCAAGGAGGCCAAGTAATTTGTCAGATGTCACTCAGCTTGAAGGTGGAGGAGCCAGGACCCAGGCATGGGAGCGCCCCTAGGCCCTAATGCTTTTTGTTAACATCATGTGTTCTGGAAACTTCAGCTTTGATCTGACTCTGCTGTTCACTTACTCTGTGTCTCTGGGCAAGTCAGGAAACTGTAAGAGATCTAATTTTCCTGGTCTGTAAAATTAGAGGCTGGCTTTTGTAATAAGATGGGGCCAGTGACAAAGTTAGCGGGCATGGTCTCCACACAAGACCACTCTGATACCAGCTGAAAATGCAGGGATTTCCCAAACCACTCTCAGGCTGGATAATTCACTGGAAGGACTCAGAATTCACTAAGAGCTATGACACTCACCACAATGATTTATTACAGGGAAAGGACACTGATTAAGATCGGCCAATGGAAGAGAGGCACAGAGCCCAGGAGGGTTCCAAGTATGAAGCTCCATTGTCCCCTCCCTGTGGAGTTGGGATGCATTACTCTCTGCGCTGAGGCTCACCCAGCATTGGTATTCAAAGCTTTACTGGAGTTCCATTACATAGGCAGATTGATTGACTGATCAATTACCATGAGATTACTCTCAGTTTACAGGTTGTCTGATACCATGTGACCCAAAGCTCCCACACTAAATCACATGGTTGTTCTTTTTGGCATGGCCAGTCCCCACCTAAGACTGTCGGGTAGGTCCATGTCCACCCTACATTCCAGTGTGGCCAGCCTCTGCCCTACTCCTAGCAAGTATGACTCACCTTCCAGAAGCCAAGGGCAAAGTCCAGACCTCTCTTTGGGCAAAGACAAATTCTTTGCTATGCAGTGGTGAAATCCTTTCTGGCTCTTCACTCTAGCACACTCCCCAGTTCACAATGCTCCCTCCATGGCCCGTGAACCAAGCTCCTCAGCACCAGCTCCAGCTCACGCCATTCACACCACTGGACTGACTTCTGAGTCATCATTCTCACCTGGCTTCTGCTTCCTAGATATTCAGTCCAGACTAGCATGTATTTATTGAACAACTCCTATTTGCCAGCCACTGTGCTGGGATGGGCTCCATGGATAAATGTCATCCTTGAAGAGTTGTGAGAGTGTGGATTGTATATGCAAAAGAGCTAGTGCAGAGAATGGGCTCAAATACAAGCTACTTTCATGATTGCTTTTTCAGTGACTAGATGAACACCAGTATCCAGTGATACCATAAGTATCATGGTTAGAATATGATCAAAAACTCATTGTGTTGGGAAGTTTCTCACAGGCATTTATTTCTAGAGAGTGAAGTGTTAGGCATTGGTCTCACTTCAGCCAACAGACATGCCACCGATGTGTCCCCAAGGGGCCACTGAACTAAATTTAGGCCAAGCCAAATCTTCACTAAACTGAGCACTGAACAGGACCCTTAAACATGATGTAAAGGAGGGAAGGCCTCGGTTTTGAAAGAAGGTTGGTTTTTGGTTTGTATGCTTTTTGTTTTGGAAGAAATATTGGTTTTTGGTTTGTTTCCGTTTTTGAGTAGCTGGCTTCTTCTTGACCTTTTGCTGCTGCTTCTCCTCTGTTTTCTCAGCCTGGAGTTGCTGGCAGATGTTCAGTTTGCCTTTGGGCTTCCCTTCTATCCAGCCTACGAGGGGCAGTTTTCTCTGGAGGAGAAGAGCCTGTCACTGAAAATCATGCAGTACTTTTCCCACTTCATCAGATCAGGGTAAGTGGGCCTTGTCCAGAATGCTGTTACTGTGCTCTTCCTCCCCTTCCTTCAAGCAGAGCGCAAAGGCCCAGTTTACATCGATGGACTCACCCTTTCCTCCCTAGACATTACAGTCACCAGCCACTGGGCTCCCTGTCTCGGTCACCCTCTCCTAGCCAAAACTGCTTTTGCATACATTAATCTTCATGAAGAAAAGCTCTGATTATATCAGCTGGATTCCATGACTCTAGGTCAGGGTTTCTCAACCTTAGTGCTGTTGACATTGGGAGCTGGGTAAGTCCTGGCTGTGTCCTGTGCGCTGTAGGATGTTTCACAGCATCCCTGGCCACTAGATGCCCACCAGATGCCAGTGGTGCTCATCTCGGCCCAGTTTTGAGAACCAAACATGTCAGATGTCCTCTGGAGGGCAAACCACTTGGAGGAGAGCCACTCTCTCTCCATAGAGGGGAATCCCAGTGCCATGGGTTTTCAGCTCAAGTTGAAATGCTCAGGGCCCTCCTTTATTCACCTCGAGGCTCTTCCTCTTCCCTGCCTGCCTCTACTCCAGTCCAGTTAGGCATACTCCCCATCCCCACCTACATAATTGGTTCCTGCGCTTTCCTTTTCCTGTTACCATCATCAGATAACAGGCTTTTCCACTCTACCCCTCCCCGGTTCACAATGCTCACTCCATGGCCCGTAAACCAGGCTCCTCAGCACCAGCCCCAGCTCGGGCCATTCACACCACTGGACTAGCTTCCAAGTCATTATTCCCACCTGGCTGCTGGCTAATGTGCATGGATTACCTAGACTGTGCTAGGTTCCCTGGAAAGGTAAAAAGATGCAGAAGTCGTGGCCCAGTTCCCAGCTACTAATAGTCCGAAAACATAAAAATGAACCATAATTCAAAGCAGGAGAAAATAAAGCTTTATGCAGTTTGTTGTGGGAGGTGAGCAGAAGAATACATTTCTTCTAATTAGGGTTTTAGAAAATATTTCACTGGGGATGTCACATGTAAGCTGGGCCTTGGGGGATGAGTAGAATATTCAGACAAGCAAAGGGGAGGAAGGCACTTCCAGGAGAGAAGGTCCACGCAAATGCAGCAGTCATGAGAGGACACGCCTTGTCTGGGAAGCGCCAGGTGGTTGCAGGGCTGGCATTTGGGCTACACGCAGGACATGCTGGAAGATGGGCCTGGGCAGCAAGTTTGGGAAGGAGCCGGTATCTGAACAGGCGCCATGTCCCCTTTATAGGGCAGCTGGCCTGCAGATTCACCCTCCTGCCCAGGCCTTGACAAACAAGGACATTTCAAAGGCTAGTTCTGGTGTCTAGATCTGAGGATATCAGGAAAGAGAAGAGCACAGTGATCTCCTGAACATTCACAAAAACAGAAGGGCAGCACGAGGCCCTGGGTGATGCTACCAGGTCATGACCTCAACACCTTTCCTCTCCCAGAAATGGCCTAGCTTTGTGGTGCTGTAGTCAAGATCACAACCCCAGAAGCCAGATCCGGGGGGTTCACATGCAGCCCTGACACTTACAGATACCTGAATTGTCCCTCAGATATCAAGGGCAAGTGGGAAGTGATTCAAGTGATGAAAGGAAAGACAAGTTTCCCTCATGGGGATTTCTTTCTTCTCGTTTTCCCAGAAATCCCAACTACCCTTATGAGTTCTCACGGAAAGTGCCTGAATTTGCAACCCCCTGGCCTGACTTTGTACCCAGCGCTGACGGAGAGAACTACAAGGAGTTCAGTGCACTGCTCCCCAATCGACAGGGCCTGAAGAAAGCCGATTGCTCCTTCTGGTCCAAGTACATCTCGTCTCTGAAAGCATCTGCAGGTAGCAAAGCCCTGGGATAGACAGGGACCAAGGGGAGGGGGCTGGGTCTTGATCTCAGCATCTGCTGTGCTCTCTGCACAAGACCTGTGCTGTGTGCACTGGAGCCAGGGGTCACCAGTGCCAATGGCACAGTCCCTTCCCATGAGGTGTTCATGGTCTGGGAAGCTCTGCATTGCCAAGGGTCTCCTGATCTGATGTAGGGCGGAAGGAGAAGCAAGAGAGGCACAGGAAGAGGGCAGTGGGGTGACTAGGAGCGAAGGTCTTTGGGGGTTAGAGTGATGAACCAGCATCAAGGCTTCCAGCCTAGAACACTGGTACAGGAAGAGAAGGGAGTGTTTGGAACCTCACCCTCACAGCCCTTGAAGGGCTAGGTGGAAAATCTTGGAGAGGCAATCCTAGCCAGGGGAAAAGTGGACATTTCTACCTCTTCCTGTTGCAGAGATGTTAAGGAGAGAAAATAAATCACAATGAAGGCACTGGGAATAGAGAGTAAACACAGTGCTCTTGGGAAGCTTTGGAATAACGGGCGTGAGTGACGCAACCCAGGGATGCCCTTCCACTTTCCGGAGGCCATGATGGAAGCTGTGCCTGGGCGAGTGGGAGCCCGGAGGAAGGAGGACTCACTCCTGGAGGCTCTGGGAAGGGTCCCCAGGAGAGGTGATGCCTGGGATGTGGATTTTAGAATCCCAGGAGTTTTTCAGGTGCAGAGAAATGGGAGTGGGCCATTAAACAGGGACGTGATCTTGTCCAGCACATAGTTTAGATTTTCAACTGTATTTTTAGTTTCCAAGGCCAAGTGGCTGTCTGCTGACAGTGAACCCAAGTACCATCATACCCTTAGCATGTCCCTATAGCCAGGGGATGATTCTGACACCTCAGTGGATGTGCCTGTCTAAAGGGCATTAACAGGAAATGCTCACTGGAGGCTGGGGTCTCTTTGGGCCAAAAGGAAGGGACCAGAGAGAAGTCCTAATCTGGTTTGGACCAACCCTCCTTGCCCACCTGTTTCAGATGGAGCCAAGGGCGGGCAGTTGGCAGAGAGTGAAGAGGAGGAGTTGACGGCTGGATCTGGGCTAAGAGAAGACCTCCTAAGTCTCCAGGAACCCTACAGCAAGTGACCAGCCCCTGAGTGCCCCCAAAACCCCACCCGCGGCTGCCAGCTATGAGCATGTTTTTCTCTAAAATAGCCACTTACTTTCAATAAAGTATCTGCATGCAGTGAAGCATTGCTGACTCTAATTTGTGAAGCCAAGGCAATTCTTGGGTAACACCAACTGCATCTTAATCCTCTTTCCAAGGTTTGAAACCCAGGCTGCTCTTTCCATTCAACAAATCTTTGTGAGCATCTGTTATGCACCAGGCCCTGTGCTGTGTGCTGGGAAACGAGGACTTTGGTAGCCTAGAAGGAGAGAATGCTGGGTAAAAAGTGGCACAAAAAATTGGATCCATCAAGAGCAGGCCCCAGGTGGCACAGTCCCACCTGAGTGGTGGGAAAGACTAACTCACAAAGGTTCCAGAGTGGAGGTAAAAGACTGACTGGAACGGGTGCAATGGTCCAGCGAGAAGCAATGCACTCTGAAGCAAGACCGTGAGGATGGAGATGGGGCAACAAACAGAGTCACAGGCCCCGGAGGAAGCAGAATTGATGGAACTTGATTAAATGTGAGAGGGAGTTGGCGCAAGGAGATAGAATTACCCCAAATTGGATTCCCAGATAAGCGATGTTCGCCCTCCTGAGGGACACACGTGGAAGGCAAATCTTCCAGTTAACACTTCGTCTCTCCACCCTCTTCACACACACATGGACACACACTTCACACAAAGTAAAAGCAAGTGGAGCTGGTTAACAGTCTTGTTCATTTAGACGGCATGCCATAAAACGCATTTGCACCCATCATCTTATTTGAGTTCAGAACAAATTAAAGATGATTTGTAGGTTGGGATTATTGTCCTAGCTTGCAAATGTGGAAGGAGAGGCTCAGAAAGACTTACACTATACCTATATTCACACAGTGAAGACGAGAAAGATCAGAGTCCGACTCAGATTTTCCCATTTATCTGTTTCCATGCACTGTATGGACTATAAATTACAGGCTTGGGCCGTGTTATGTGTCCTACAAAACCTACTGATAGCACTGAAAGTCCTGAGTAGCCTCCAACCTGCATTTTAGGCCCTGTTAGGATGGTTCAGTGAATGCACCTAAGTACTGAACTAAAAGGCCTTAACTAAAGGAAACTCAATAGATAGATGGTCCCCAGGGTTGGTCGATTGGTCAGTGTCTCAATGATATCATCAAGGACCCAGAGTCCTTACAATCATCCTCTTTGCCATCTTCAGCACCTGAATGGTGTTTCAATTCACTGACACATTATAGCTGCCATAGCTCCAGACATCACACACAACCCCCAACAGCATCTCATGCTGGAGACAAATGGGGAAGGAGCTAAATGGCTTTTCCCCCAAGGGCTTCTTTCTTTTTTCAGAGGAAATTTTTTCTCCCAGAAGTTCTCAGCAGAATTCCCCTTATATCTTTTTGACTAAAACTAAGTCATGTGCTCCCTTTTTTTCTTTTTTTGAGATGGAGTTTCACTCTTACCACCCATGCCACAGTGCAATGGCACGATCTCCGTTCACCACCACCTCTGCCTCCCGAGTTCAAGGATTCTCCTGCTTCAGCCTCCCAAGTAGCTGGAATTACAAGCACGCACCACCATGCTTGACTAATTTTTTTTTTTTTTGGATTTTTAGTAGAAACAGAGTTTCACTATGTGAGTCAAGCTGGTCTCAATCTCCTGGCCCAAAGTGCTGGGATTACAGGCGTGAGCCACCACGGCTGGCCATATGCTTCCTTTTAAACCATCACTGGCAATGAGGGATGAAAAGGCCTCTGTGATCCAATTATACCAGGCATGACTTATCCTCCAGGATAGGACATATTGCTGTCCCAACAGACCTGGAGTGCAGTTATCAGCAATGAATGAGGAGACAGTTATTGGGTAGACAATGGATGCTCCCAAGACTATGGGAGTTGGGGCCATTCCCCCATGCTTAGGGCTGTCCTGGCATGGCCCAGGGTTGGAGTTGGCCTCAAACACCCTTTTCCCCCTTTAGTGCAGTGTGGGTTGAAAATCACGTGCTATGTTTGGAAGTGTTCTCAAGTTCCTGACATCAGAGGTCATGGCCCTGGTCCTTCCTCGATACCCTTAACCCAAAGTGAGGCTTCAGGATCTGAGTGCTCAGACGGAGGCAGAAGACATGGCTCCAGGAGGCAGTGCCCTGCATTCTCACTGTGTTTGGCTCTCCTGCGGTATCCAGATGGGGGTGGGGGATGGTGGTGGATGAGACCTCTATTAGTTGTCTGTGGCTACTGTTAAAAGTTTCACAAATGGGGTGGCTTGAAACAACAGAAATATATTCTTTTTTAGTTATGGACACCAGAGGCCCTGGACTGAGGTGTTACCATGGCCATTCCCCTCCGAGACTCTGAATGGAGATCCAGCCCAGACCTCTCTCCTACCTTCCAGTGGCTGCTGGTGACCAGTGGTGTTTCTTAGCTCCTGACTGCCTTCTGATCCCTTCCTCTGTCCTTACTGGCCTTCTCTGTGCATCAAACTTCCCTCTCCTTTCTCTCAGAAGGACACTAGTCATTGGATTTGGGCCATCTAATCTCAAGGTCCCTAATTTAATTATATGTGCAAAGACCTTAATTCTAGATAAGTTCACATCCACAGAGTTAGGACTTAGATGTGTCTTTTGGACAGGTCACAATTTAACCCACTCTGGGACCCAGGGCTTGGGGACTGGACAGCATGTCAGGGAGGGGTGGGGAGCTAAGCTGATGCAGTGATGTGGGAAAGCCCTCAGATCAGACCAGCTAAGGAGAGGAAGAGGAAGGGTATCTGGAAGGCCTTTCTGGCATAGCCCTCTCTATAGCCTGGCCCTATAATTAATAGAATTATTAATAATAATAATTATTATATTATATTAATATATTTTATATTTATAATATAATATATTATATTAATAACACTTATATTAATATTATTATGTTAATAACATTAATAATTCTATTAATAATAATTAATAGAATTATTATTCTATTAATAATTATAGAAATAAAATAACAGCGATGCCATTTACCAAGGTCTCAAGCCCTATGTGAGGCTCTGTCTTCTGAACACTGTCTCACTTTTCTTTCCCAAAGGAAAGTTTGTTCTTTTGTTGCCAACGGGAATTCAGTGCTTGATATTCTACCTCTGAAGCTCTGTTCCTTTGTTGTTTTTTTTTCCCATTTATTTTATTGCATTTTAGGTTTGGGGGTACATGTGAAGAACATGCAAGATTGTTGCATAGGTACACACATGGCAGTGTGGTTTGCCGCCTTCCTCCCCATCACCTACATCCGGCATCTCTCCCCTTGCTATCTCTCCCCAACTCTCCACCCCCCACCATCCCTCCCCTATTTCCCCCCAACTGACCCCAGTGTGTAGTGCTCCCCTCCCTGTGTCCATGTGTTCTCATTGTTCAACACCCGCCTGTGAGTGAGAACATGCGGCATTTGATCTTCTGCTCTTCTGTCAGTTTGCTGAGAATGATGGTTTCCAGGTTAATCCATGTCCCTACAAAGGACACAAACTCATCGTTTTTGATGGCTGCATAATATTCCATGGTGTATATGTGCCACATTTTCCCTATCCAGTCTATCGTCGATGGGCATTTGGGTTGGTTCCAGGTCTTTGCTATTGTAAACAGTGCTGCAATAAACATTCATGTGCACATGTCCTTATAGTAGAACGATTTGCAATCCTTTGGATATATACCCAGTAATGGGATTGCTGGGTCAAATGGAATTTCTATTTCTAGGTCCTTGAGGAATCGCCACACTGTCTTCCACAATGGTTGAACTAATTTACACTCCCACCAACAGTGTAAAAGTGTTCCTATTTCTCCACATCCTCTCCAGCATCTGTTGTCTCCAGATTTTTTAATGATCGCCATTCTAACTGGTGTGAGATGGTATCTCAATGTCTGTTTTCAGTTAAAGTGAAAATTCCCTCCAGCAAAAGGGTACGAGGTTTCTCCTCCACCAGCCCCTTATTGGCACTTTGAAGTGAGGTAGACTGGGCTGTAGTACCATGTTTTTCCAGCTGTTTGGGTGAATTGAAGTAATTCCTTGGCCCAGTGTTTTCCATCCTTGACCATTCATTGAAATAACCTGGAAACTTTCACAAAATCCCCCACCATATCCCAGACCAATTAGATCAGAATCCCTGGAGGACGGGGCCAGGCATTAAGAGATTGCTATGCATGTCAGGAGTGGACACCACTCCTAATCTCTCTGATCTGCTGTTTCCCCACCTGTAGAATAGATTCAATTACATTTACTGGGTGAGCAATATTTAGCAAGGTGCAAGCTGGAAGCAATGTAATCTTTTCCACCCTTCTCCATTTGTGGTAGACAGGATAATAACTAGGACGACATGGCAAGAGGAAATTAACGTAGCAGATGGAGTTGAGGTTGCTAATCAACTGACTTTAAAAATAGCTGGGATTACACAGGTGGTGCTGATGTAATTACAGGGTCCTTAAAAGTAGAAGAGGGAGGCAGCATGAGAAGCATCTGGTCTGCTGCTGCTGGCTTTGGAATAGAGAAGGGAGACCCTGAAGTTAGGAATATAGGTGTCCTCTAAAAGGCAGAAAAGGAAGAGAAAGTGATTCGCCCTTACAGCCTCCAGAAAGGAATGCACCCTATTGACACCTTAATGTTCACCCATTTGAGATTCATATTGGATTTGTGACCAACAGAACGATAAGACAGCATATTTGTGTTGTTTTCAGCCCATAAATTTGTGAAAATGTGTTGTAGCAGCCATAGAAAACTATGCATCATTATACCTCTACAGATGTATACTTTATCCTGCCCTTGGACCAGACCTCAGATACCTAGCTCATGGTTTTTCTGATAATGAAAAGTCCACTATGGTATAATACAGGCATCCCCAAATTCACCAGCATTGGCCCTGAAAACAAATTGTTCACATTGCTTCACATGGAGTTTAGTGACAGGTTACTGTTGGTGAACTGATTTTTGACCGCCCCTTTGCAAGTCCTGCACGTATGGTCTAGCACCACCGGATGACACCTGCTATTTTGTTCTCAGCCTTCGAAAACACCTCATTTTAACATCCTGTTATAATAATAACAATAATGCCTACTCTGCAG